CGTGGCGATCCAGTAAATGTGGAAGGAAGTACAACCATTTTCCCAATACGTCCATTTAAATTATTAGCCGTAGTTTGTAAATAATCTCTTAAACCTTGATATGTTTCACTACGTAATTCTTTTTGATGATTTTTACAATAATCAATTCTATCTTTTTCCATTTTTACATAGCTGTCTACAAGCCACTGTTGAAATAAGCGACGTCCTAATGAAAAAACATTAAATTCATCATCACGAATAGCTATACGATATTTAATATACTGTCCTCTAGTTATTCGTCTATCACTATTTAATTTTTTTAAATCACGATGCCATCCTTGAGTACCATATGGATAAAATAATGGATATATCCATGGTTCTACATTTGGATCCATAATACTAACTTTTTGTAAAGTTTTAGTATTTTTATTACGTATTGTAACATATGATTCTGGAATTTCTCCATCAGCTGTTGTAGAGAATACAGCAGCAACTTCATTGATTCTTTATATCGACGTCGATCCATATCTGGTCTTGAAGTAAATACTAATTGTAACTCCGGTAATAATTCACCAGATTCCATTTCTAAACGTCGTTGCTTTTCTAATTCTTCACCCATCATTTGATAAGACTGAGCAAATACATTAAATTCCCGCATTATTTGTTCAAGGTTTTGTACAATTTCAAAATCTATGTATGAATTTTGATTAAGACGATGATTTATTGCTTCATTTGAATCTACGATAAAAAGTTGGCCATAAGTAGGACTTTCGTTTTGTACAGCATATAATGCTTTATTAATTTGATAATAAATCTGTCCTTGTATTTTAAAACAATATGGACCAGGTCGTCTATCTTGAAAGTTAATTAAATTAGCGTTAAATGAGGCAAATGAAAATGAACTGTTATAACTACGAATATTTTGAAAAAAATTATTAGATTTTATGTGACTACCATCAAATAAACTACGAATGAATTGAGGAAATTCAGGCAATGGTTGCACACATACTGCACCATGATTACAACAATCATGAAATGAATATCCTCTATTAGAAACTTTTTCAGCTGCAAAGTGTTTTGCATTACAATGAATACAATACACATCCATAGGACCAATATAATATTCAATTACATCAGTAAATGATAGTGTACTAATATTATTTAAACAAGATCGTTTTTTCTGCCGTGATCGATAACGAGTTTGATATTCTACAGATGATTGTAATGTTGCTCTAACACTTAAAGGATTTTCTTCATTTTCCATATCTAATTCTATTACACGATTATCATTTGATGTACCAGCAATACAAATAGTTTGTTGATTTAACTTTTTCAAAGAATTTTCAACTAATTTTTTATTTTCACGACGACGTCGTTGATTCTCCCTTCTTTTTTCTCGATGTTGTTGCAAAAATTCTTTTTTTTCTTCTAAAGTACGTACAATTTTACGTCTCGTCATTTTATAAGAATTTTCTATATTAATATACTATATATAAAATCTTAAACATATACACTTAATATTATTAATAAATATTAATAAAAAAAAAATAATTTATACAAAAAATTTTTTACTATTGAAATATCTATTACAATTTTTATATTATAACTATTAAATAATCTATATATATATATATATATATATATATATATATATATATACTATTACTATCTATATATACTATTACTATATTAATAATTTATTATTATTATTATTTATATATTATTATTTAAATATTATTATTATTATTTATAAATTATTATTATTATTTATAAATTATTATTATTATTAGATTAAATTCAATTAAGATAAAAATTAATATTCTCTTTAGGAATGGAATTTGACGAATTATTGTTGGAGTTACAATTATCATTTACTTTAAGACCAAATATAGATTGACGTCGATACAACGCTTAAGGAATTAATAAAATTATTGCTGTTTTTCTCACTTTAAATAAATTAACTTACATAAATAAGTTAATTATTATGGTTATTAAACTATAGTTATTGTTATGGTTATTAAACTATAGTTATTGTTAAAATTATTATTTTGTTATCATCATTATCATCATCTTCATTGTCATTATTATCATTATTATTGTTGTTATCGTCAATATTATATAATAGTTTATATCATCAGTGTCATCATTTATATATCATTCATATCATCAATTATCATCAATATCATAATTATTATTAATAATAATATCAATACTTCTAAATAATATGATTTATTTATTAATTACATATACATAAAAAATAAAATAAATTACAATATATAATAATTAATAATACTACTATAATAAAATTAAATATTAATTAAATTTTTGTAAATATAAAATAATAAAATATATTATAATACAATAAAATTAAAATATAATTAAATATAAAATACTAATTGCAAATAAATTAAAATAACTTATAATATAAAAAGTTTTCTTAATTAATTTTCTCTCTTCACTATTCTTTTCCTCTTTTTCTACTATTTATTATGTAAATTTTGTAACTTTCTCGCCTTTCCTGAAACAAAAGAAATAAATATTAATAATTTACATTAATTTAAAAAAATAATATATAAAAAATTATACAAATAATACATACATGCATACATATCTATAATTTATGCATACATATCTATATATATGCAGAATTAGTTTTTTATCTTAAGATATCGAAATATCTCGTAAAGTCTAAAAGATACGAAAAAATGTTTCAAACAAAAATTGTATGGTTTCAAGGAAGACATAAAATGATGTCATTCGTTTGACCTTGAAGAGTCATCTGAAAATTATGTGAAGGTTACCTCCAATCTTTTAAATAAGACATCCTGTATGTTTTTGCATATTCTCGTAGCTCATCTAGAGAGTTTTCTAAAACACTATAATTAAGTTAATTTTCATTAAGTACTTTTATGAGACATAAAGTTATTTCTTAATTTTACATAAACCGTAAAATATTTTGTAAAATATTCATTTTTTGATTATCTTATCTTAATACTCTTATGTACAAAATAATGAGAGGAATCAATTGATGTACAGAAAACACATAATTGTTTCGAAAACAAAATGTAATTTGCAATTAACAATTACATTTTTTTTCGAAACAATTATATGTTTTTCTTACACCAATTAATTCCTCACATTATTTTGTACATAAAAGTATTAAAATAAGATAATCGAAAAATAAATATTTTACAAGATATTTTACAATTTATATAAAATTAAGAAAATGATTTTATGCCTCAGAAAGTACTTAATAAAAACTAATTTAATTATAGTGTTTTGGAAAGCTCTCGAGATGAGCTACGAGAATATACAAAACATACAGGATGTCTTATTTAAAAGGTTAGAAGTGACCTTCACATAACTTTCAAGTAACTCCTCAAGGTCAAACTAATAACACTACCTTATGTTCCCTTTAAAATCATATAATTTTTGTTTAAAACATTTTTTCGTATCTTTTAGACTTTACGAGATATTTCAATGTCTCAAGATAAAAAACTCACCCTGTATATAAATTATATATTATATATTATATATATATACAAGCTTCTTTATAAACAAACTCTTCTTACAATATTTAAATTAAATTAATAAATTTAAATCTATCTACAAACTTAAATAGAATTCAACATTACATATTAATCAAATTTAAACATTTTAATATTAGGAAGTTTACTTATACAAAAGCTTATATAAAGGAATAGCTATATATTTCCTAGATAACAAACTTGTTGTACAAGCTTCTTTATAAACAAACTCTTCCAGCAATATTAAAATTAGATTAGTAATAATAAATGCTATTCGCATTAGTACATATACTCTTAAATCATTACTACGCATAATATACAGGGTCTACCAAAAGTGTGGAAACCCCTAAATATCTCGGAAAATATACGTTTTACAGAAAAGTGTTTCCAACAAAAGTTGTAGGGTTTAAGAAGATCTATATACTGATTCTATCAGTTTGACCTTGGATGGCGTCGTCAAGGTCAGGTCAAGGTCACATTGACTTTTTTAAATGACACCCCCTACATTTGATTGCATATTCTTATAGCTTAATTCAAGAGCTTTCCAAAACACTATAATAATGTTCATTTTTATTAAGTACTTTGCGAGTTATGAGGGTTGAAATAATTTCTTAATTTTACATAAACCATAAAATATCTAGTAAACCATTCATTTTTCGATTATCTTACCTTCATACTTTTATGTACAAATTAATGAGAGGAATCAATTGGTGTAAAGAAAACACATAGTTGTTTCTAAGAAAAAATATGTAATTTGCAATTAACAATTCCATATTTTTTCTTAAAAACAACTGTATGTTTTCTTTACACCAATTGATTCCTTTCATTATTTTGTACATAAAAGTATGAAGGTAAGATAATCGAAAAATGAATGGTTTACTAGATATTTTATGGTTTATGTAAAATTAAGAAATTATTTCAACCCTCATAACTCGCAAAGTACTTAATAAAAATGAACATTATTATAGTGTTTTGGAAAGCTCTTGAATTAAGCTATAAGAATATGCAATCAAATGTAGGGGGTGTCATTTAAAAAAGTCAATGTGACCTTGACCTGACCTTGACGACGCCATCCAAGGTCAAACTGATAGAATCAGTATATAGATCTTCTTAAACCCTACAACTTTTGTTGGAAACACTTTTCTGTAAAACGTATATTTTCCGAGATATTTAGGGGTTTCCACACTTTTGGTAGACCCTGTATATATATATATATATATATATATATATATATATATATATATATATATATATATAATCGCAATCAATTAAGCTTCGCTTCGATTATTCAAAAACACAAATTAGATATATCATTATATTACGTTGTTGTACAATCATGAAAATGGATGTGATATTTTTTAATAATCAAGATTTTATGGAAGGTAAGATTAAAAAATTTCTTTTATTATTGATAAATTTAATATTAAGATTAAACCTAAAAATAACAGAATCAATGTAGAAATATTCTAAAAATATTTTTCCTACGTTAAGCTTTATCGGATCGTTCGGAAAAGAAGATAAACATTAATTTAATTGTATCGGCTAAATAGTATCGACTGGACTCAGTAAGATATCTTCTATATTCTTTCTTAATGCTATAATATTTTTCAAACAAAAGTTGAAATTTGGTCTAGCATCCGCTGAACTCCAGCAACGTAGCATCAACTGGTACAATGCTGACGGACAATTAAGAGGCATCGGCAACCTGCCTCCAGCACGTACATAATTTATCACTTCTTCATTAGACTTGCCAATATAAGGTTGCTCACCCAACGATGTAATTTCCCACATTAAAACACCAAATGACCAAACATCGCTTTGAGAAGTAAATGTGCCGATTATCAAAGATTCCGGTGCCATCCAGCGAACAGGAAGCAACTTTTCTCCTTTCTAAAACATGATTTGAACAAAAATTTTATTTTCTTGCTCAAGTTGTTCATTTAGAATAAAATATGTGCAAAATGAAAAAAAAACTCTTATTTATCACTTACTTTATATAAATATAAACAATTTATTTATATTCAATATTATTCAAAAAATGGACAATAATATTATAATAAAAAATTGAAAGCATTTCCAAAAGAATTCATTGTTTTAATAATTAAATTTTAAATAATTGCATTTACCGCGCGATAATAATCATCCTTGTAGATATCTCTAGCTAATCCAAAATCTCCAATTTTAATGACACGATTCTCGCGATTTTTCGAAGATACTAAACAATTGCGACACGCTAGATCTCTATGTACGAAGCGCAACTCTTCCAAGTAGCAACAACCTCGCGCAACATCTTCGCACATGGCAAATAAATCCTGCAAACGTAGAGCATGCGAATCTGACGCTTCCAAATTTCTACAATCTCTCAAATATTTTGACAGATCAGTTTCCATCAATTCCAACACTAGTAATGGAGAATCCCCATCTTCACAAATGGCCAACAATCTTAATATATGTTCATGTCGAAAGTGACTCATAAGCTTGGCTTCTTTTAAAAATTTATTTTTCTCATTGGAAGAAGCATCTTTCCGAAGCGTTTTTATTGCAACAGATATTTCTATGCCGGACCTTTCTAAATTCTTTACATTTCCTTGAAATACCTGCAAAATATTTGATACAAATTTAAATATGTACTTAAAAATGTATAGAATAATGTCAAGTATCGTTATATTTTATTTTATATTAAATAATTCAACGAAAATTATATAACAAAGTACATGTATGTTGTCTCATCTAAATTTTATATTACATATAATCTACTATAAAAATTCATATAATTTATGTTCTTATTAGGAAAGGTCTGTTTTTTTTATCTAGAAATTAATTTGAAACATTGCTTGAAAAAACTAATTTTTACCTTTCCAAATGCGCCGCTACCAAGAAGTTTTATTATTGTGATTTGTTTACGTTCGATTTTAGTTATCGCATATTCATCTGGGTTATAATGTAACAATGTAGGACTGTAAAGCAAATTCAATTGAGTGTTTTGGCAAGGTACTTGATGTAGAATCGCTAATTCCATGTCGGCCATTGTTGAAAGCAAAAATTGCTCATTATTATTTCTGCGTCGATGATATACTGTTATAAAATTTCGATTTAATTATGTAATAATATGCATTATAAAATTTATCGTTTTTTAGTAAATTTATTAGTTTAATTTTATATAAGTAAATCACTAGTAAATTAATAGTTTCAGTAAATCTCTATTATATCAGATATACGCATAATCTACAATTTAAATTGATACCTATATCAAATATACTTACAACAATAAAAATAGCAGATGCAGATTATAATAACTATAATGATAAAACTTAACATCAATAGTAAATAATAGTTTGTCTTTCCAGGAGTGTTCGAAATATCATCTATATTACGCAAAAACATAATTTTAATATTTTTGTATGTGCGTTTTATTTAAAAACTTATATCTACTAATAACGTTATTATAAATTAATTAATAATAAAAGAATAATAAATTAATAATAAATAAATAATAATAAATTAATAATAATAAATTAATAATAAATTAATAATAATAAATTAATAATAAATTAATAATAATAAATTAATAATAAATAAATAAATTTTTTAAATTTTATCAGTCTATTCATATATAAAAAAATAAGCATATAATATTACAACATCTATGCACTACAGAATATTACAGCTACTTTGTGACAATGTTGCAATATTGCAAATTGTAATGTAACACATTACGGAAACATTGCAGAAATATAAATTAACAAAGTTAGATATTAGGAATACGATATTTATATTTTAGAAACATTTAAAAACTATAACAATCTTTAATTTTTTCGCACCTCTCAATTGCGTAGCCCAATTTTTATGGTTCAAAAAGTGTTTTCTATTTTTTCTTGACTAGTGTATTTTATACGTAATATTTTAAATGGTTGCAATAACATTGCATTCTTCCAAATATATTAAACTGCAATGTTGTTATAATATATATTTCATTGCAATATTGCAAAAAGTGAACATCTTAACGTTGTCATCATAACGTTGTCTTATAATAATAACTCAGGAGAGTTTTGCAATCGATTTGCAGTATTGCCATGAAATTATTCTTCAATATAATCCGCAACCATATTGTGTTGTATAGATATCTTAATTTGCTTACCACGTTTGCTACCACGTGTTGAAAAAATAAATTTTTCATCAGCTGGCCATGTAAAATTTTCCTCATATTCGGGATATCTCAATATCAAGCGAAACTTGTATGAAGTTCCCGATTGTAAATTTCCGATATGGTATATTATTTCTTTGTTATAATTTATTTTAACATAATTCGTTGTTTGCCACTTTTCTATTGCAACCTCTTTGTACTCTAGTGTAAGAAAGACCGTAAGATTCATGTTTGAGATCCATGAAATGTCCATGCTATTTGTGTTGGCCTCGCTCATACTAATATTGTTTGGTTCTGAGTATATGTGATCGATCTTGCTTAAACTCTCCTTGTAGAAATTGCTGAAATTACTTGGATATACACGCACGTATATCAAGTAATCTTGTACTGGTAGCGATAAGTTAATCTTTGTGAAAAATCTGCCGTCTGCCATACGTTTCGGCACATTGATAAATTGTTTATTCTCTTGTTGCGTGTCGTTCACTAACTTCCAATGCACTTCGTAGGTCACAACCACGCAGTTCAATTTCTTAGGTGGCATCCAATGAACTACTGCTATAGTAGGCGTCAAAGCTAAAACACTTATGTTTTCTGGTGCATTAAGCTTGCCCAAATTAGTTTTTATTTGTATCACGTTCGAATCGAATGGATTTATTAATAATTGATCAAAGTAAAAATTGCTTAAAGTAAACTTCAACTTGTACTCTGTAAATGGTGTTAAGTTCTGAATCTCGTAATATCGCTCGGCTGTCAGCACATTGAATTCTTCAGACTTGTTGAGGTTGTTGTCTAAACAATGGCTTACAAAGATAGTATATATAATAGGTGGTAAATTATATTTTTTGCATCCACTCTTTACAACCGGCTCCGGTAAATTTACAATGATGCTGTTTGCCATTGCAGTCACATTCTCAAAATTATAAACCTTTTCGTCAGGTGTCAGACATTTCATTGGAGGATATGCTTGTGAAGATTTATCAAAAGCATAAATTTTATAAAACACATTTTTATCTGAGCTTATTGGTATCTTTTTAACATATTCGTATGCATTTGGGATGCTCTTGAGACTTGCATATTTCTTTTTCAAAACGTAGAGTGTATATACAAATTGAAAATTATATGCTAAAATGTAAATGTTTGTTTTGTCAATCGTCATAGATTGGAATTTGATGTCATCACTTATGTCTTCCTTGTGTAAAATCTGATTGAACTTAGAAATATTAATGTCTGTTACAATTGTACTCCAATCATTTAACCAGTAAATTAACGACTCTTCATTATTCATGTTATCAATTATCATATTACTAAAAGAATTTATATAATAAGTTGGGTCAAAGGAAGTATTTATCTCAACAATTTGTTCGTTTTTTCCATCGAGATGATATTTCATCATATTATATTTTTTAGTCGTCCAATTGTATGATATGTAATATAAATTTCTAAAAAATATATAATTATTTTACTCATTATAGGATATTATTTTAACAAAAACAAAAACTTACATGTAGTAAAATTCGAAAATCTTATAATTATATAATAACTTATTATTTTCTTTTACTTCTGATTTTAATTATAAAACCACGTAAAATTGTAGAAAAATTATAAATTTGCATAAATCTATAATGGAAAATTATTTTTCAGGTAAACGGTAGTAAACGTACCCCATAAACGGTGATACATTTAAATAACTATTATCAATTTCTGATTCCAAAATCTTATCAAATCTAATTATGCCATTTTCCCACATTCTTAAGTCGGACTTTAGAATATAAGAGTTTCCTAAGTTTCGATAGGTTATATATAGATTTCCTGTTACCCAGTCAATGCAAAGATCATATATAATATGATCAAAGCTAGCTATTTTTGTGATTTTAGTTTCACTAATCTTTAATGTCTTTAGGTCTTTTTTGTCACTCCAATAAATTCTATGTTCTTGTATCGAATACGCGGCATTTACTGATCTGAAAAAAGGAGTCAACTGTAATTGTATAGTAAAAAAATTATAGATGAAATTTCTAATTTTATAGTTATTATTACTATAATATTGATAATAAATTTTTACGTAGTAATAATAACTTTAACTTTATAGTGCCAAGAATAATTTAGTTATAACCATTTCTTTATCAGTATACGTACTCATCATATAGATAATCAAAGCTAGGTACTTCTGGGAATTCATATTCATATTCACGTTCATTGTTAAAACTCAATAGGTTATATTCACTGACAAAACTCATTTGGTCTCTTTCCCCAAAATAATGTCCATTTGATGGTGGATAATATCGTTGTTTGGGGAGTATTATTGTTGGTCTGAAAAAAGAAGTCAACTGTAATTGTTTAGTAAAAAAATTATATTTGAGATTTCTAATTTTATAGTTATTACTACTATAATGTTGATAATAATAAACTTGTGCATAATAATAATAATAACTTTAACTTTATAGTTAGTGCTAAAAATAATTTATAATAATTAAAACTGTTTTTTTTATCAGTATACGTACTTTTCAGTAAAGGACACTACGAAATTAGTAATGTTTAAATCCACGTCCCATATTTGGATACCTAGATACGTTGTGAGTAATAATTTAGGTATTGGATTTTCATGCGTAGTCGATACATTGATTAAATCCGAATAAGGACCAGCAATAACTTCAGTATGTGCACGTACTCGGAAATAATATGTCGTATTAGATTTAAGATTGTGCACCGTGTGCTCCAATGTTGTAGTTGTGATATTTTTATCGTCGCAGATTTGAATCTCTTTTAAATCCTCCATAACAAAACATTGCACTGTGTACCCTTGTATTACTTCAGCGGTAAATTCAGATTGGTTCCATCTGTAAAAAAAATAAAATTTTAATCATTTCATATTTAACAAAATTATAACAGAATTAACATTTTGATATAGATATGTCGTTGAATTTAAGAAAAAGAGAGAAAAATAAAAGAATACAAAGTGGAAATTTAGATTCATTACCTCAATGTTACAAAAATGTCGTTTACTTTTTCTGTGAATTGACTGTCGAATTGTACAAATGCTCTGAGAGATGTTGGCTTGTTTAAACTGCTTTCTAAAGATTTTAAGATCGATACATATTAACATAATTATATGTAAGATTAAATGGATTATCTCAGTAAATCAGAAAGAACAATTTAATGTGAAAATACCCTGGTAGAAATTGCCTTGCCGGCGCCATAACACTTGTCAGCGTAATGGAAGTTACGTCACAGCTTTATTTTCAAAAACTGAAAAGATCCACTCCAGAACTATGGTCGCGGCCGATATATAAATGGTGTAATGTTATTATAAAGTTAAACGGGCGCAGATTGAAATTTGACTGAGCTTCTGATGCGATCCATACTTGCGCCACGTCAGATGCTCAGACATCTTTTCGCTTGATCAAAAAAGATAACATTAAAAGAACACAATATACGACACGTGTTTCTTTATTTGCCGCAATGCGGCAACACCAGACCAACTAAACTCGTATTCAATTTTTTATGAAGTGTATATAAAGGACTGGTATACACATGAGATCTAAAGTATATTTTTTTCCTTTTGTGAGTAGTATCGCCAAAAAAAAGACGCTGCTCTCACGTACACGATCAGAGAGCCATGGCTCTCTGATTGTGTGCGAGTAAACCACGTTTTCTTCTTAACATCACTTTATCAATTTAATTTAGTTTAATTTCTGACAAACTGAATTTAAAAAAAAATATTTAATAATGTGGATTTTTTGTAAAATTCTAAATTTTTTTCCTTGTTGGATTTCAGAATTTTTTCCAGTTTTAGTAATATTTTTAGGCGACTTGGTGCTGTGTAAGAAGTTTTTTATCAATAGTCAAATAGTTCAGTAGTATTTTTTCGTAAAGCAATATTATATGCTATACTACAGTAATTCCGCATCTGCTCTATGACAATATCTTACTAGGACTATGTTAATGCCATGTCAGTACAACACAAAATTCAATTCAACATGGCGTCAGTGAGCAAAACGTGACAATTTCGAGAATGGCTCTTACCAGCGTGTTATGCCAGCTCCTTAAGTGGCAGTGTTGCACGCCAGTGCCATACAAACGCTCGATCAAAATTTCTACCAGGGTAAAGGAAAAAGAAAAAATAAATAAAAAAGCAAACTACAAAATAAGGAAATTAACACAATGTTGACCTTTAAAAAAATAATATAAGAATTTTTTTCATTTAAGATTTGGAAAAGTAATCGTTAATTCGTGGCAAAAACAAATAAATAACTTTCAATAAAATAAGAAATACTTTTCGAAAAATTCCTGTAACTTAAGAAATTAAAAGTATAATATTTGCGATTGTTTTAAAACCAAGTAGCAAATTAATAAAATTGACTTTACCTTAAATCATGACAATTTTTATGTACAATGTTATGTTTGTATTATGTCTTTTCATTTCTTTTTTGGACAAAATAGAATTTCTATTATTTTCACTGCTGGAATGTTTTTAGATTTGATTTTCACTCTTTCTTAAATTTAAATTATATTTACACTTTTTCGTCACAGATTATGTTATTAATGTTTGACGCATTTTTTGTAACTTACCGATAGATTCTGGGGTGATAGAAATATTTGCAAGTGTAACTTCATCGACTTCTCGCTCATTTCTCACAGTACTATCGGAATGACTCCGATCAGATTTGAAATTTACTATATGATGATTATTTTTCTCGGACATTGAAATATCCTTCATAAGGTGTAACATACAAAAAGAATTATAAAATGAATATCGTTGAAGCGGTCGTTTCCGGTGCTTTTAATGATAAATTATATAAATTATAAAATTGAACGAAAAATTACCATTCGTTTTTTGTTTGCTTAATAATACCGGTTTGATATAAACTATTCCTAAATGATATATATTCAATGCGATGTAGTTTTATTCATATTGTAAACTCTATTTTTTATTTTTTCTATAAAATATCTTGTATATCAAACATAACTCATCATATCAAAAAGAAAATCAATCAATATAGGTTAACAAGAGTCAATGACGATTTATAATAACTTTTAGCAAGTAGTAGAAGCGAAAGTGTAGTTCTTTGCAATTATTAAAACAATTTTGTCTAACGATTTGATTCTTTCTTATGATAGGTTAGTTAATTCTTCTCAATTTTACCATAACTTAAATTTTCAAAAATTTGCCAATATTACTAAAGTTCTATTAATGTTTGTACTTCAAGCAAAAAGGTTAAATATTGTTTCTTTACAATTCTTAATATTAGTCATAGAAATTATATATGTTCTTTTATTTATATCCTTGTCAAGATTTTTTTCGAGTGTCGTTACATTTTTAACAATCAAATCCTGAAAGTGATGATATAAACTGATAATGCCTCGATAAGAATATGTAATTGTATATGAATGGATATATTTACAATGAAAATTAATATAAATTCTAGCAATTGTTATCGATTGTATCGTCGATCGAAATATTAACGTTAATAGATACAATTTGAAGAATGTTTGATGAATGATTTTTTTATTAGACAGATTTTCTATCTCGATATTTAGCTCTGTTTCATTATATAATTACTTTTAACACAAAGAAGTGATACTAATTTTTTAAATTAATTTCTTAAAATAAAATCTACTTAAATCTTACTATATATCAATAAATATTATAAATATTATAAATATCTAGAAAGATAAAGAAATTTTAGAAACTGAAGAAAAATAACATAAAAATCTATTGAAATGTTATCGTATGTATATATTAATGTAGCAGATAGTAGACAGAAAACTTCATTAAATTTAAAAATTGTTATTTTTAGAAATAATTATCATATATATATATATATATATATATATATATATATAAATATAGAGAGAGAGAGAGAGAGAGATTGTTTTAATTAAATTTAATATACTATATAACATTCATTTGTAAACAAAATTTCGAAACTTTATGCATCTGTTTTTTACAACATTATATATATTTTTTACTTTTATATTGAGAATTGTTTTATTTTATCTTATCTTATTATATAAATAGAATATATAATTTATTCATTCATTTTTAGCCACACTAGCTGCAATAACATTCAATTGTTTCTTAATCAAGCGAAAAATATCTCCTACCTGCGTGAAATTTAAATCCGGATACAAAAAAATACTTTCTTCCTGAAGGATGTTTGAATTGTTATCATCCTTTGGCGTGATAGTTGCCTTTGTCAATATTAAACCTTTCAATAAAACACATAAAATTGTTCCAAACATAATTTGCATTTTTGATAAACGTTTGCACTCAATCAGTTTCCGTTCAACCCTCAAGTAATTGTTTTTTTCACTCTACTAATTCTGATGTGTTAATCGAATTGATATTAATTCACATAGATACATATATTTTCGATAAATTCTTTAAATGTCAGTTTTAACGAATTGCAAGTTATTATCTTCTAATATTATGTTTTTAGATTTTTCTTTATGGTCACGATCAAAGTATATATCTTAAGATTAAATTAGAGAATTCTTAGTATGTAAATAATTTCTATTTTTTAAGAGAACAAATGACAATGCAAAATATTACATATTCATTTGATTGTATCGCGAACACAGGAATATAATTATTATCAGCTTCCTTTTTTTATTAATATTATAGTAGAAAAGCAGTCGATAAAAGGATAAAGCAATCAAATTACAAATTATCAAAAAAGTTATAAAATTATATATATCATGTAACATATTCAAGCACACGCAGCGTGTAATCGAATTCACTTAAATATTTGCTATATCTTTGGTTTTATTAAAAATGTAGTTATGACAATTCGTTTGTACGATTGTGTTACTACGTGCTATGCTTTTTAAAATCCACTATTCGTACACAATTACACGTTTCCTGTGATATTTATATAATGCAGTTTGAATTACGCGACAAGTAACGCGATGATGTTTTTTGGCTAGCGATCACAGTAGTAACTGATTTCGAATGATCAATCTGATCATATGTAGCTTGATGTCTTAAGGCCCTCACACAGGAAATTGTATAGCTACATATGCATAACATAGGACCAATAAGCATCGTGTATTATGGACCAATAAGCATTGAGTATTATGTTATGTAATTTGATATGGCGACTTTCCAAATTAATGATAAGCACTTTAATTACGTGAAAATAATTTTGTAATGTTTCGGTCTCCTTTTGTGAAGTTATTTAGTCCGTTCATATATTAAACGATATACAACATTTTTACTTCATAAATATATTGGTATCATTAAAGAAACTTCTGCTAAGAATAATTAGGAATAATTCTGTTAAGAATAACTAAAAGTAATTAAACAAGTATTTATATCATGATCTCTTTTTAAATTCATCCATACACTGAGGAAAAAATTATCTTGAAATAAAAAAATTTTAGTTAACTCAAGAAAGCTATTTATTCGGTGGGTACTAATCACGTATTTACTTGTATTCAAAACATATGTTTGCTTAAGCTAAGTATTTATTTACATATATTTAAAAAAATATATATGTTTAAAAAAATATAATTTTTAATTAAATATTTTTATTTTAATTTTACAAAATATTTATTAAAATGCATTTTTTATTTCCAAAAATTTTAAATCTTTTAATTTAAAATATAATAGATTTAATTTAATAAATTATAGTATATATTTTATGAAAATAGTATTTAGGTATAAAAAATATATAAATGAAAATAATATACTTAATATAACATGCATATTTAATTAAAATTAAATACTTTTGTTTAAATGAAATAAACAATTCCTTGCATTTAAAGCAAAAATTTCAAGAAAACAAATTTATTTGATTTAAAAAAATTTTTCCCTCAGTGTAATAATAGACATGTTTTCAAATATTTTATAAATTTATTCGCTCCACAGCAATGATATATGTATGTACAAAATTTATATGTACAGTTTGAAATAGGAAAAAGCTTCAAAACATAATATAAAAAAACTTGAAATAAAAATTATAATTGTGTGTTAACATTTATGAATTTACAAAATAGTTAATATTACATTAAAAAGTGCAGATCTTATATGTTCGTGAGTTAGCGCGGATTGCTGCGACAGCGCAAAGTTTGAGAAAGCGGCAGAAGGATGGCCACAAACAGAACGTTTAACGCAAAAAAAAACTTGACACGACACGTAATTCTTTTTGGTTTTTCCAGTTTTTTATTTTACACCACACAATTAATAAAGTTTACACGAATAAAAATGAACACCAATATTTCAGGTACAGAAACTAGTTCCGAAGCCGAAATTGCGAAAGTCCGAGTGAGAAAGTGGTCGTTATAGTTGCGGTTAGACAAAGCGGTTTTGCAAAGCGAAGCGGTTTCACTAAATACTGCGAGCAGCGATAAGTGCGAGACTTAGCTGGTCCACGCGCGGTGCCCATTATAAAGCGAGCGGATTTTTGGGCCCGCTTCGACGTGGACCAATTAATTTAATATTTCAGCGGCGACATTATTGCGGCGTGTGTCATTGGTTGTTGATGACGTCTCACGTTGGATATCGTTTATTTTCCATGTGCGCAATCTTTTTAGATCAGCTGATTGGCGATCAGTTGATCGTGACGCATGGGCGCGCATGCCCATGAGCGGCGTAAATTTCAACGGCGGTTGACAATAATATTGTCAGCGGTGATGATGAGCGGTTTTTTTTGGTGGAAAAAAAGCGCGAGCGTTAAGTATAACTCGAGCGTTCGAGTTTTTTCTAATAAATAGACATTTCGAGAAGATTCTCGACGCCCGTTAATTTTAAATTCTCGATTATTTATTAGCGAAAACATGCGAATTTCGCTATGCGATTTTTGAACTAGAATGACTGTTTTAATTTTGAACATTATATAATATAAAAAATACAAAAATACACATGTTGAATATCTAACAAGTATCGTAAGAAAACAAACATTCAAGTATTAATACATGCATATGAATTTACAATTTTTTCTTCATTAACTAAATTATATCAGTTAGGTAATACATATAACAATAATATTTATTGGATTCTATATACCATCTCTTATATGTCTTCTTAGAATTATAATATTTTCGAGACAATATTTGAAGTTTGATTTAATTCCTGCTACATTGCAACAAGACAGTATTAATATCAAATGGATAGTTAACCTTTAATTACGCATTATCAATAGATGACGAAATGTTTTATAACACATGGCTGTCGTCAATAAATAATTTTAAGATATGCTACGATGCCCCAAGTAGCACACATTTGTTTTATAAAATTTAAAAATATTTGATACGTTTGAGAAACGTATCCAATATTTTTTAAACGTAAAACATTAATAAGAAACGTTTCTATAAAAACGCTTTTAAAACCATAGTTAAGGAAACATATTTTTCAAGTTTCTAATATAGACGAAATAAAACTAAATTTTATTAACTTCAAATTATATATACATGTATACATATACATATACATACATATAAATATATATATATATATATATATATAAAACATATAATATATGAAATATAAAATATATAATATATATATATATATATAAAATAATTATATATATAAATTATATATATATATATATATAATATAATATATATATAAAAGAAGTAGTTAAAATCGATCAACACTGGCAATATTTATTGAGGTAAAAAATCATAATCACGACTTTTCGATCATAGGTTTAGGTCCTTTTCGAGTGAAAGTAATTAAATTAACGGTTCTATCATGAGAAATAAGAA